CTACACTCCTCCTGTGGGGGGGGGGGGGGACACGCATGCCATGTTCATGTTCATGTGTGTCGCCATTCACGCCTCCAGGAGGTGCGGCACAACGCCAAGCTAGGCCGTCCCGCGCGCGCTCCCTAGCTCTCCCTCTGTCTGGCGCTTGCGGCAGAGAGGTCGCCGCGCGCCGGCGTCAGCGATGAGCTTCTGCCGCCTCTCTCCATAATTATTGACTCTTGAAGTCGCTGCTGTCCTGTGTGCATGTCATGTGTGTACTGTAGATGAGAGATTGTTCGTGTGTTCTTTTTTATTTCGGTGCGAGAGTGCGCCGTGTGCGCGTTCGAGCTTCGAGGATCGGAGTTCGGTCTTCGGAAGCGCGCGTCCGGCTCCGCTGTGCGCTGAGCGCTGTGTGAGTTGTGTGTGTGGTATTTAGAGGTATACGCAATACAGCTTTTAAATGCTCGTACGGCTTCAATGCGGCTTGCGGGTCATGGCCTGTGTGTCCGAAACTTTGTGCAACACGTAATATAGTACTACGCATGAGCTCTTTCCCAGTGCACCCCAAGGAGCTCACGGACGGACGGCAAGCAGTCCGATCCAGTTGAGTACTAAAGAACAAGAGAGGCACCGCTAGTGCTCCGCTGGGCGTCACACTAACCGCCGCGGCGGTGCCAAGGTGAGAGGAAGGCCACTGCAGTGCTCCGCTACTCCATCTCACGCGTGATCGCCAAGCGCAGCACGCACGTGACAAAGTCGCGCGCCGCGATGCCGTTCGTGGCTCCTTGCGCGCCCGCCCTCGCCACGCCGAAGACCAACCGACGTCGGACCGCGGTGAGACCGCGCCGCCCCCCGCGCCCGCCCGCGCCCGCAGCGTGAACACATACGCGCGTCCCTCGCCGCACGGAAACATACGCGCCAGCCGCGCAGCAGCCTCACATGCAGCGCCGACCGCATGCTCGCGCCCTGGGCCGCCGACGACCCGGTCGGGCGGGCTGCGCGGCCGCCGTACACCATCAGGCAGGCGCGCGACCACCCGCAGCACGCCGCAGCCCACCGCGCAGCCCTGCCAGCCAAGCCTGCGCCTCCCAGCTGCACAAACAGGGCGCACAACAGAGCACAGCGCACAGCACACACCGGCGGCGCGCGCGCAGCACACACAGACGCGCGCGCGACCGCAGCACGCACACGTACACAGCACGCGCGCGTCGCACGCCAGCGCAGCGCCGCACACAGAGCACACTTGCCCACATCAGCAGCAGCCAGCCTGCCACAATCCTCATCTCACACACGCGCGCACACACTCCCCCCTACCGGCGCACGCATTGGGCGTCGCCGAGAGCTCCACGGTGGTTGATACATACCTACATGCTACTTCGGCTTGGCCACCAAAACGACTCTACTGGAAATAGATTGATAAAGGTGAAGAGCTGTGGAAAAGAGCGCGAAAAAGAATTTTACAACGAAGGCTGTGGCGACGCGCGCTCCCTCTCGGAGGCAAAAGGGCTACGGACGGGCGGACTTCAGCGACTCCGGCGCCGCGCCAGGCCCCAACATCGACATGTGCAGTCGGTTCCTCCGGGTCAATGTGCTCGACCAGGTGCCCGCGTCCAACTTCGCGCTGCACGCGGCGGCCAAGGACGAGCACGTCAACGTCATCGGCACGCTGCTCTCTGCCCGCAGGTACTCTCCACGCGGGCATCGGCCTCGATACCCACACGCCCCGAGTGACCAGTGAGGAGAGTACATGTAGAGGCACGCGCGACGTTGGGGACGCTTGTACACTACCTTCGGTGCGAGTCCACACCATAGGCGCGCCGATTGCCAACGTCGCACGTAGAGTCATGTAGCCTGTCTGGGTGGAGAGGGCTGTAGGCGCGCGACGTTAGGGACGACTGAGTCACTGGACTGTACACAGAACACACTAAAGTATACCTATGTATGTGCTATAACGGGGGGGCTTGCGAGCGGGACGGCCTTGCGCAATCCCCCAAAACCACTTCAGCACGCTCCTGCTAGCTGGGCTTGCGCGCATCACGCAAGAGCGGCCGGGGGCCGCCGTCGGTAACTTAGAGCCTCAGTGCTCTCCATATCTCTTTCAACCATCAACGCAACCTGGCGCGCGCGCGATCTCAGATTCGGTCATGCTGCACTGTATCAGTGTATCACCGGTTCCATCGGGGATCAGTCCGATCAGAGCGTGATGCCGGCGACCTGCTTGAGCGCCTCGCGGTACGCCGCCTCGTCCTTGAGCGGCTCGCGCTTCACCTCCTTGCCGTGCCGCATCTCCTTGACGTAATCCTTGCCCACAAAGTCAAAGCCCTCCTCTCTCATCATGATGCACATGCGCTTCTGCGAGAAGGGGTTCTGCTCGACGTCGGCGAGCACGCCCGCGATGCCCGCCTTGAACTCGTCGCAGTCAAGCGCGAGGTCGTCGTCGAAATTGACGAGGTAGACAGGCTCAGGCGGCGTCATCTCGGGCGCCGGAGGCGGCGTCTCGGGCAGCCCCACAAAGTCGACCATGACGCTGCCGCCGAAGCCGGACTTGCGGCTGCGCATGAGCACCTGGCCGCAGCGCTTCGCCATTTCGGGCGTCTGGCCAAAGGCCGACGGGTCGTCGTTGGGCGCGAAGCTGTAGGCATCGCCAATCATCGAGTCGGTCACAGTGCTGCCAAGCACGGCGGCCATCGGCTCTCTCGGCGCGTCGCCAAAGCCGGGGTCGACGTGCAGCGGCTGCGGGCCCAGCCCATCGACGAAGAGGGCGAGGTGGCCCGGGACCGGCCCGCCAGGAGTGATGACGTACGATATGGAGAGGCGGACCTTGTACCCGAGCGACCGCAGCAGCCATGCGAACGCAAAGTTGAGCTCGAAGCAGAAGCCGCCGCGGCGGTCGTACACGACCTTCTTGAGCGTCTTGTGCACGTCGAGGCTCGGGATGTGCTTGGCGGCGGGCACCGCCGCGACGCTGTCACCGAGCGCGGGGTGCGCGTGCTGGCCGAGGTTCTCGAACGGCACGGTAAGCAGGAAGGCGTGGAGCAGCTTGGAGAGGTCCTCCGCGCTAGGCTCGCGTGCGATGAGGGCCTCGGCCTCGGCGTACAGGCCGATGCGGTCGAGGAAGGCGAGGAGTGTGCACTTGTTGCCGGCGTTCATCGACTTTTTTATCGATCAACTAGTGTGGGACCTGCGGCGGTACCCGTCTCTGTTGTTCGGGCAGTGAGAGACGCAGGATCTGCACGCCAAAGTGGGCCACTCATTTGCATTTTGGTTTTGGGTTGTCGGAGATCATCCATCAGCACTCATGTCTCATCAGTCAGTCACGTCAGTCAAAGCAGTTCGTGGCACTCATCAGTCAGTCACGTCAGTCAAAGCAGTTCGTGGCACTCATCAGTCAGTCACGTCAGTCAAAGCAGTTCGTGGCACTCATCAGTCAGTCACGTCAGTCAAAGCAGTTCGTGGCACTCATCAGTCAGTCACGTCAGTCAAAGCAGTTCGTGGCACTCATCAGTCAGTACGTCAGTCAAAGCAGTCGTGGCACGTGGAGCAGTCGCTGCATGCAACGGCGCCGCCACACGCTCCGGACGACCCCGACAACCGACACACCACGCACAATGGGAGGCTATCGCGCACGATCGGGCATCGCGCCGCAAACAACTCGCCGCACAGATGGGGGGGAGGCAGAATCCCACACACACCGGAGCAGCACAGACACCTTAGACGTCAGCGCTCGCTCGATGTGGCCGGCGCTCTCCCCTCGGTCCTATCTCGCCATTTCAACGGCGGCGTGCGGCCACGCGCCGCGCCGAGCCGGTCTCGGCGGGAGACCTCGGAGCCGCACGCGATGCGGGCATGCGCGATGGCTCCGTTGGCTCCGTGCCTAAGGCAGATCGATTAGGGTGTGAGCTGCGGCAGCCACCGTTTCTGTACCCGCTCGATCACGTGCAGGCCGTCGGAGGCCGCGCTGGATGGCCCAGGGCCGGCGGCGGTGAAGGCGTCCGTCGATGAAGGGATGTCGTCGAGGGAGCCATCGTCCTCCGGTGCACCGGTCCAGTTGTCGGAGTTCGAGATCGCAGTCGACTTGGAGAGTGTGTTCGGCCCGTTGACGAACTCACGGAATGTGAGCGACTTGGTGCACGCTGGGTCGAGCATCATGACTCGCACCTCATCCTGGGCGAGGAACTCGCCCAGGGACCAGCTGTTGGCGTCGCCGTTTTGATCGAGCTGCATCCACTGCATGGTTTCGTAGTCAAGCGTAAACGCCCAGGAGTTGGTGCCTGGGTGACTTGCTGATGAGAGCGCCTTCCAGGCGGGTAGTCGTGCCCCTCACCTACGGTCATACGGCGGCGTCAGAGGGGGGGAAGGGGCGCGAAGCGTGAACATGGAGGCAAGCAGGTTGGTTTCTGCACCTGGCCAAAGCCGGCGACCTCGAAGTTGTCGTAGCTTGTGCTCGCAGCGCGCGGCGACAACTATTCGAAATTTCACCTGCGGAGTGCGGAGTGCGGTGCGCGCGCCTCCCGCCTGCGCGCCGTGCCGCGTGCGCGGCCGTGTTGGCGCCGAGGCGCGAGGGTGCGCGCGCCGGTGTGGATCGCACTTCTTGCCCCAAAGGGAAACATGGCGGTCAAAAGGGTATAAACAATGAAGTTACACGTGAGCCGCATCGCCCCGAGCCATGAGAGTCCTGCTCTGAGAGACGAATTTTTACAGAGTGCCACAGTCACACAAAAGTCTCTCCACTCTCGCAGTCGCACAGAAACAAGGGGCCAAACACACGTATTGTGATCAACAGGGTCTGACCCCGGGGGTGCGATTGCATGTGATCAAGCTTGGTTTCACACCCACGGTCTCACAGTGTGCCGGCAGGGTCGCCAGCTATGTCCTTCACAGTCACGCATCAAGCCGCGCAACGGCAGCGTGGCGCCCGGCCTAGATGTAGCGCAGATCGACGTAGACCGCCTTGATCGGCTGAAGCGCCGCAGCTAGCTCGTCGTCGCCCTTGTCCTTGAGCACAGGGTAGTCGTTGCGAACCGCGTCCCAGACGTCCCCGTCCGGGTCAGCTTGGGGGTTGCGCAAAAGGCTAGCGAAAGTGGTTGGGCGGCCAAACACGTCGAGGAGGCCGAGTGGTGCGACTCCCGACTCGCGCCAGCTTAAGAGGTTCTCTGCCGGCTTGCGAGCGCTCAAGCTCACGCCCTGCAGTGCCGCTAGCTCCATCTGGGTGAAGGGTGCCGGTTTTGCGCGTGCATAGGCCGTCGCCGGTGCAGCGGGTATAGGTGACGCGATGAAAGCCTCGCCTGCGAACCGTGCCACGGCGGTGCGGGTGCGGGCTGGCCGGCCGGCAGGCAGGCTGAGAGCAAGCAGAAGCATAATGGCACCGGATCGACACGAGAAAAAGAAATGGACGGTTGTTGCATTCTGCATTTTCAGAGAAATACGGAATGTAGAATCAGCCCGTCTATGCAGAGGCTAATCCATGCAGACTGCAACCTGCATGCTACAAGAGTGGGCTCCACTCCCGATACAATAACGAATTTGCTAGTGCATGCATCTCTACCACTTTCATCTCCCCACCTCCTCCATCTCGCTCCCTCTAGCCCCCGTGTCCCGTCCCGCCCCTGCACCCCCCGCCGAATGCGCTCGCCGCGGGGCCGTCTCGGGAAGATCGCATCTTATCCCGAGGCTCGCCGTCCCAGACGCGGAGAGATGCGCGCGCTCGTCGAGCCAAGCGCCGCCCTTGCGCAGCCTCTCCCGGGGGGCGGCGGCGGGGGTGGGGAGGGGGTGGGGGGGAGGGGCGAGGAGGAGGAGGAGGCCAGAGGAAGCGAGGCCAAGGCCTCGCAGGGCCGCCTAGGCGAGCGCGACGGACGACTCCTTGACGTCGAGCTCCTAAGGAAAAAGAAAAACGGCGTCCGCATGTTGATAAGGAAGAAGAAGACGCGACTGCGTGTGGTGCTGTCGAGCTCCTCGTTGCCGTCGGCGATCGTCTCGAAGATCATCGACGTGACCACGTACGGGTCCATGTTGGAGGACGGGCGGCGGTCCTAAGGTCAGGTGAGGTACGGGACACTTCTCCACACACACACACACACACACACACACACACACACACACACACACACACACAAGGGTGTTGGGGCGAGGGCCAGGCTAGCCCCTCGCGACTCCACGTCTAGACGACAGGAGCCCCGCGGCATTGGAAGT